CCACAAAGGAAGGCTCCACAAAAGCTGAGAGGCTCTTGTCACACAGACCATGCTATCTGAGCATAATGCCATTAAGTCAAAAGTTAATTTAAAAAGAAAATATTTTTAAAATCCACACATTTGAAAATATAAAAACAGAATGAATGCACAAAAGTTTCAAAACAAACATTTAACAATCTTAACTTCTGGAATGCCTTTGTAAAAATAGGATCTTAAAACTCAAAAACCAAAATGAAAATACCATTTTACTACATTAAAGAAAGACAAACTTCTGTATGATGAGAGCCATATACACATAGTTGAAAGAAAATGACAAGCTAGGAAAGAAAATACAGAACTAACATTACAAGATAGTGTTAACATGACAAAGACTGCTTAAGATCAATAAAGAAAAAATAAACATATTAGAAAAGCTTATTTAAAATACAGTTAATTTACAAAAAAACTTTAAAATGGCCATATATGCAAAGAGGTTTAATATTACCAGTAATCAAACTAATATAAAGCAAGTTATCATCTGTTGCCTATCATATAGGCAAAAATGAACAAAAAATGGCACCATGCCTTACACTGTTATTAACCTGAACTGAATGTCAACTATTATGTGGCTGTTTAAATGTAGTATTGTATACTCATGGGTGGACTATATACTAATGTATATTTCTATTTAGTCACATGGAAAGATCTATTAAACATAAAGTTGAATAAAAAGGCAAGATGCATATAGGATCATTCCACTTATATTAAAACTATGCATTGAATGCGCACACAAGTGTTAAAACAGAGAGCTATAAGGATATTTACTAAAACTATGATGATGGTTATCAGTAAGAGGAGTTGAAAAAATTTTCTTATTTGACAGTGTAGTTTCAATGTTTCTCTAACTAGAATGTATTATTACCTTTGAAAACAAATAAATTAAAAATCATTTTAAAAGGGCTCAAAATTAAATCAACAGATGAACAATAACATTGTTTTCTATCATTTTTTTTTCTTAATGCTCTTTAAAGAAACTCTACAGTTTGGTTTTTATCCTGACTGACAATCAGTATCTCCCATGGATAATAATCATAATTATAGTCCGCATTTATTCAGTGTTGGGTACAATATGTATTAAGCTCTTGACATAAATTATCTCACTCCTTACGACGCTCCTATATATGTATCACCAATATCCCCATTTTACACGTTTGGAAACAGACACCAAGAGCTTACTAATAAAACTTGGCAAATAAAATAGTCAAGGTGTAATAAGGACTTGAACCCAGATATTCTGCTTTAAGAAGTCACTCAACTAATCTACTTATAAGGAGACAGGGTGCTGAATTCACACAAGTTGTATAATTGCAAAGAATCACTAACATGGAACAAAAGCAGAGGAATTCAGAAAGAGGGGACAGCAAAATAAGCACAATAATATCCTAGAACTACAAGAAACTCAAGATTCCTCTTTCTTTTAACTGTCATATTTACTTACTTTAAATATCGCACATATAAATTAACTAAGATGAAACAGCCATATCAAAACAACAGATCATTCAACTTTCCATGCAGTCCTCTAAGAAGGATCTAATTTACAAACTCATGCTGTCTAGTTCTCCTGTTTCAAGCAATAATAATCACAAGCCCTTACTTATGTATAGCAATTCTCCCATCCAAGTACAAACCAGGCCCGACCCTGCTTAGCTTCCGAGATCAGACGAGATCGGGCACGTTCAGGGTGGTATGGCCGTAGACACGTATAGCAATTCTCATATTCTCCATTTCACTGACCCCTGACAAAAACTATGTAACGTTTTGAAAGCACTGGTTAAAGCCCTAATTTGTCCTTTTCTATTCATCTCTTCTCTGATCATCTGAAGTTCTGTAATTTCTAGAAATAAGCCCAATTTACACCAACTTCAGTGCAAAATTTGACTTTCATTTCAAACAGATCTTGAACTTAAAATTCTTCTCTCCAAACGTACCACTCTGAAATTCACCTTGACAGATAATCTGCTTTTCTTTAACTGTTTTGGCGATTAAAAACATGTCAATGTATTATTCGTGGAAATTTCTTTCAAGTATCTCTCTTCCTGTATCCTTTTGACAGTATGTCTGGCTGTCTTCATTCCTTTGTACACCTCTGGTTCTCACGCAGACTCTATCTCTCAGTTACTATTTCATTTTCCTGTCTTGGCCTCACATAGAGATAGGTAGAATACAAATCACATCATTCTTTTTCCCCAGTCACTACACTAGGGTAGGCTTCCACAGTGACCCTGAAAGATGATCACATGTATTCCTGGAGTCTTCTCCCTGTATATGTAACTCAGTCAGGCCACTGAACTAGCACTCTTCTCTTGACTTCACATAACTATTCGCCATCTATTGTACCTTTTTAGATCATCTCTAACTACTTGCTTAATTCTCCCATCAGGATTTTCTTTTTAGATAGGCCTTTTATTTTACAATAGTTTTAGATTTACAAAAGAGTTACAAAGAGAGTATCCTGTATAGTCCATACCCAGGTCCCCCTACTATTAATATCTTGCATTACTTTGGTACATTTGTCACAAATAATAAACCAGTATGAATATATTATGATTAACAAACTCTGTAGTCAGATTTCATCAGTTTTTTCCCTATCCTTTTTCTGTTCCAAGATCTTATTGAGGACACCACATTACATGTAATCATTATGTTTCTTTAGGCAACTCCTGGATATGTGAGTTTCTCTGACTTCCACTGTTTCCTTCATCACCTTGACAATTTTGAGGAGTACTGGTTAAGTACTTTGTGAAATGTCCCTAAAGAGGGATTTGTTTGATGTTTTTTCTCATGATTAGACTCAGGTTATGGGGTTTTGTTATGAGGAAGGCTACAGAGGTAAAGTGTCTTTCTCAACACATTACATCATGGTTGCACACTATCAACACTACTGATCACTGGTTATGCTGACTTTGACCATCTGGCTGAGGTCATGCCTGTCAGGTTTCTTCACTGTAAAGTTACTTTTTCCCCACACTTCCTTTCCTTATTATACTCTTTAGAAACAAGCCACTAAATGTAGCTCATATGTTAGAGGTGAGTTTTATGCCCCACCTCCTTTGAGAGAGGGAATCTACATAAATTTTTTGGAATTTTTCTGTAGAGGAAATTTGTCACTGCTCCTTTAAATATTTATTGATTCAAGTATTTATATTACTATGGATTCATGGGTATTCATACTTTGGATTATAATCTAATACTATGTAACTTAATTTGTTGCTCAAATTGTTCCAGCTTTTGTCACTGGGAACTTTTTCCACTGGCTCCTTCATCCTCTGACACGGCCCCAACGTTTTGCTTTTTGAGCACTTCCTTCCTTCTGGCACTACAAGCAGCTCTAGGGCTCACCCTTGTATTTTTTCTCCTCTCCCTCGAACTGCATTTTTCCAAGGAGCTCTGGTTCCTTCCACTGAAGAATGGTACTAGAAACCAAGATCTAAGCACAGAGTACCATAAGAGATGATTTTTAATGCTGCTGGTATTTGTGATTTCATAACAGTGAAATAAACGAACAGTGATCTTTCCTTTTTCATTTTAAAAAACATGAATGTTCCCTTAGAACTAAAAATCAACATGCTCCAAGTAACTTGTTTTCTTTCTCCTCAAGCACACTGCTTTTCTGTGACTGGTATCCATAGTGGCCCATGAGAGAAAACCAAGAGACTCCTTGGGTTCCTCCCTGTCCTTCATTCAAATATAATCAGGCTCCAGTCACACAGACTCTGCCTCTGCTAGCCCAGGTCTCCATGGCCACTGCTTCCTTCTGTCTCACAGCCTCATCATTCTCACATGGACAAGAAAGGTACAGCAGCTTCCTGACTCACTGCTTCCATCTTTAATCTTCTTTAATAAAATTCTAATCTCACAAATATGGAATTCTAACTTGCGAATCTCATCATATAATTGTCCTGCTTGAAATGATGAGTCAGTGATGCTCAAAGGCTAAGTCCAGACTCTTTAAAGAATGTACTAGAGAGGTAACGACCTGGTCCCTGTATACACGTCCCTATCTCCCTCATAAGAATGCTATTCTATCTACTCACAACCAACTTAGAGTTTCCTAACCTTTGCCTGATGGTCCATGTTTCTATGCCTTTGCAAATGTTGATTTATTCTCTTGACTGGCTTCCTGGCTCCCATGCAACAAACCCCACATACCTACACTTTGTGAACCACTCATTCTTTAAGACTTAGGTTAAATAACATCTCCATGTGAAAACACCTCACACATCAAGCACCATTCTCCTGCAAACACCTAGCTGATACTTCCACTTTCATTTCTAGCACATTATGTTATAATTTTGCTTACTTGTCTGAGAGTCTTCCTTTTAGTGAAATGCTTCCTGGGGGTTAAAATTTTGTTTTATTTCCGAATCTCCGGCACTTAGCTACAAAGGACTCAATGTTCAATTATCTTTTGCTGAATTAATTATGAAAAAGATGAAGTATAGGGCTTCTAGTCTCCCACAATGTAAACTCCACATTGGGTTAATTTAATACAATCTAATATAACAGTCTAATGCACAAATTAATTTCATTATTGGAAAAATTTCTAGTTATTCTAGATTTTTCTGATACATGAGCAGTGAGTAACTTCCGTATCTCCGTTTGTGAAAAACAATCTGTAGTAACTTATACAGAGAATACGAACAATAATTTATAAGCAATTTATAGGCAGTTGTAGAATTCAATATAAATTAGAAAAAATATCACCTTGCTATGATTAACTCTACACAAACAAAATGTGTACATTAACAGGCCATATACAGTATTAGCTTTAAGACATCTATCAACAAATCTAAATGTTTACTAACACAATTAATGTCATCAAGGATTCTGTTCTTTTCCTCTTCCAGACATAAAATTTTAGAAATAGTAGTGTTTCAGAATCAGTATTTAATTTTAAGATAAACTACAAACTAATTTAGTTCCGCATATTTGCAGGTATAGCTTATAAGTATAATACTTACTCTAATACTTCATAGTTAGACTTCTTTTCTAGGGCATTGCCCCGCATCTCCCAGTATGATCGCCTAAAATCAGGGAAGACATACATTTATATGTATATATAAGGAAAGGTTATATTGTTAAATGATAAAAACTGGGGGAGTGGCATCTGAATAATAAATAAAATCAATGGCAACAACTGCAATTATCTTTGCACCAAACCAACAGTTCATAATTTACTCAAATTTTATTCAGTATTTCACTGATAATCATTATGAAGAAAAGGAAAATACCTGCAAAATATTCAAAAATAATTTAAAAATTGATAAATAAAGGCCTCAATGTATAGTTACCATCTTACCGTATTTCTAGACAACCCAACTTCAAAGCAATTTCCTGGTCCACTTGATCAGCTATCTCTAACATATAATCGCTCTTCACCTACAACAAAAGGAATAGGATAAACAACACTGTTTTAAAAGAAAAATATTAGATATATGCATTCAATAAATGTTTCCTGAGTACCTTTCATATAGTTTACATTGTGTCAGTAATTATGCTTGATGTTAAAGATATAAACATGAGTTATACCAAAAAATATTAAAGAAATAAAACGGTCTCCTATTAAGAAAAGCTCATATAATCTATGACCACTTAAATGGGACATTAAGAAACAATGAATAGAGTCTGAATCATAATAACCTTCAGCTGCTCCACACCCTTCCCATGCCGTCAAAAGTGAAAACCAGAAGGGAAATTTCCATTTCTACAAAAATTTGCAGATGTATTTCAAACTACAGTTCCAGCAGCATATTTTGGACTCCAATGAAAAGGCAAAGGACTTACATACTTCAAAATCCATTTAAATGTGCAGCTGAAGTGTTTCCATCTAACCATCAATTTTAAGTGATTAATCTGCAAAGTAATACAAGCTTAAAGTCTAAAGCAAACACAAGAATCTAATGGAATTCTTGAAATGCCTTCTAAACAATGAATAAACTCAATTTTAAAAGTTGATAAGAGTGATATCAATACTTGCAAGTAATTATCACTGTGAACACATTTTCAAAGATGAAATGTGTACCATTTCCTTGTAGATTAGCCTGAAGAGATTAAAATCTGCAATTTATTTTGATAAGCGTACCCATTTTGAACCTCACATGAGATGTTATCCCCTCTTCCTCCAAGCATCCCATTCTCTTCAGCAGCACACCTGTGTTACTAGAAAACTACACTCTATTATGAACTTTATCAACACAAAAATTTGTGCAAATTTGTCTTCTCTCTCGTTCTGTACTTTCATAATACCCTCCATTTTGCCTCATTCCTCAAAGTCTAAAATGTTTACTCTGACCCTTTACACACAAAGTGTCTTGACTTCTGCCCTAAAAAAATTTTCAAACATCCTGTTCATCAACGACTGCCTACTAGCCTGCTAGCTCATTTGTTCAAAGAGTTCCATCCCCAGTTAACTCACCTCTCACTCCACACCAATCTTTGTCTACTTCATACTGGATGGTTCCTCGTTATGACCGTCTCTTGCAAAGACAACCAGCTCCCCTGTCTCCTATTATCCCTCTGTTTGAATTGCTTGGTAAACCCAAGCCATGTTGAACCTACCCACTCATCCTCTTCATGCTTAGATGAGCAGCTGGAGAAATCATAGTATAAACTCCACTTTCAACTCATGAAGACAAATCTCAAATGGCCAGTTAAAACTATCTGGAAATTGAACAATGCTTGCCTAGGAAGCTCTACAATTCACTGATTTCATACGTCCTCCAGTAAGCCTGCCATATCTCTGTTACAGAGAAGATAAAAGACATCAGATGAGCATACTCTCTGTAACCTACCAGGAATTCATAACTTAATATGCATTTTAAAAGTATGAACATTTACTCATTATTTTCTCTTAAAGTAGGAGAAACATTCCCTCAGCTAGCAGTAGACAACTATGTGTTATTACTGATTTAAGGAATATTCTGTCTCAAAACCTTCCTTTATTTTCTGCATTAGCATCTAAGTCTGGGTGCTCAATAAATATTTATTGAATGAATGAGTAAACAAATGAGTGAACAGTCATCAAACTGGAGGGTGGGTACATAAATGTTATTTTCCATATGCATTTTCCATCCTTTACAAGGAACAACAGTTTCTACTACTTCCACATAGCGGGCACTCAAGACTCATCAACTGCAACTGAATTAATCCAGTCAGTTAAGTAAAAAGCTTTAGGTCTAGAACGATTTGTTTAACTTCAATTGGCTCTTGTTTCTACAAAACAAAAAATAAGTCTCAATCTAAAGCCTGTTTTGCATCATAACTAGGTTTATTATCGAGCACAAAAATAAAGGCGCAAGAATTAAACCAAGACAGGTATTTAGATAGGCAGAAAAATACCACAGCTACTCTGATGGAAACATTCAGTGGCTTTTAGTTGTCCGATGCAGATTTCAGAGGAACTACTGCAGACCACCAATTACATGTTGAGGAAAATGCACCATTATGAAATTCAATTAATCTTGAAGATTAATTGCCACAATTTTTAAACACTATTCACAGGTAGGAAAAATAATCAAATGCTGTATTTCTCATCAAAATGAAATTTGTATTGTAAAAATGAAAAAAGGGGAAATTATAATAATCTTCATTTTAAAAATCTCATTTATGAGAATGATTTCAAAGTTCTGAGAGTTGTTTTCCTGTAGCTTTAATCTCGATTATCAGAACTGTATGATCACAGACTGAATCTATTTGTGGCCCAACGTGATCAAAGTATTCTGCAAAGAGTATAGATCTGAAATAGAACAAGGCATCACCACAGACCCGCATCCTCCCCTCAAGCCCCAAAGCAGCTTCCCCTCTGCCGCCGGAGAGAAAGCAAACTCTGTTCGGTGTCTCAATGCTCCCTGTTATCTAGGCTCTAGAGAGTGTTCTCTCAAGCCACTGAGCGAGGTCACATCCTGAGGCTGGGCTTCAAGACTCAGAATGATGTACACACTTTGTTCATTTCCCTTATAAAACATTTCTTGACTACCTCTCTTTCACTAACTCCCAGCAGAACTGCTATCATTTGTGAAACCAAATTTATCAAGCATTTAAGTTTCTATAAAGTATATATACCTAGCACCATGTCAAGCAGATTTACATGTAGTATCTCATTTAATCATCAGACCATCACTGTGAGATGGGTACTATTATCATCCCCATTTTACAGCCTCAGAAAAAGCCTGAAAGAATTGTCAAAATGATAGCAGTAGATAATAATCCTACTTAAGGAGTATCCACCAGGGACCAGTTACTACGCTAAGCATTTTACATATATTTCTGATCTTTACAATAATTCTTCAAGGTAGAGTTTATTAGTCCTATTATATATAAAGATCAGAAAACTTAACTTTGTGTTAAGCAAGTATTAAAGTCAGGATTCAAAATCCAGATCTATCAACCCCTAAAACTCCAGCTTTAGTTTGTACCTACAACTTGTGAACCCTTCCAAAGTGCAGTTATTCTCTACTAGAATGAAGATTAACAAGCAGGAACCACCTCTCATTTACCCTTGCATCCCGAGTATCAACCACAACAGATTCACATGCATCTCCTAAGGTGCTGGAACACTGTCACTGTGTTGTATTCTCTTTTTCTATTGTGGATTATATCCAGGTCCAGGAAATTTGCAAGATTCTTCCAAAAGAAGACTTCTGAAAGTTGATTTTTAAAAATCAATTTGTTGGCTGGGTGCAGTGGCTCACGCCTGCAATCCCAGCACTTTGGGAGGCCGAGACGGGCGAATCACCTGAGGTCAGGAGTTTGAGACCAGCCTGGCCAACATGGTGAAACCCCGTCTCTACTAAAAATACAAAAAATCAGCTGGGCATGGTGACAGGTGCCTGTGATCCCAGCTACTCGGGAGGCTACGGCAGGAGAATCACTTGAACCCAGGAGGCAGAGGTTGCAGTGAGCTGAGATCGTGCCACTGCACTCCAGCCTGAGGGCCAAGAGCGAGACTTTGTCTCAAAAAAAAAAAAAAAAACTAGGATGGGCCAGGCGCAGTGGCTCACGCCTGTAATCCTAGTATTTTGGGAGGACGAGGTGGGCGGATCACGAGGTCAGGAGATCGAGACCACCCTGGCTAACACAGTGAAATCCCGTCTCTACTTTAAAAATATATATATATACATATATATATATATATATAAAATATAGATAGATAGATAGATAGATAGATAGATAGATAGATAGATAGATTAGCTGGGCCTGGTGACAGGCGCCTCCCAGCTACTCAGGAAGCTGAGGCTGGAGAATGGTGTGAACCTGGGAGGCGGAGCTTGCAGTGAGCCTAGATCGCATCAAAAAAGAAAAAGAAGAAAAAAAAAAACTAGGATGGATTTGGACTTCTTTGTGCAAGTATTGTATGTGTATTAAGGAGTTCCTTCATCTCACTCTGTAGTAGAATGAAGCACAGGTTTTAACATAAAAACTGTTCACATTTTCTAATAGAAAATATTGATGCTAAATTACTCCATAATGTATTGCATATGTCAACTCAATGCTTTGGCTACCACATGAGATTTTGTCTTATTTTGGTCTCTTTTGAATATTCTAACAGCTACACAAATTTATCAATTGGACTCAGAATTCCTTGGTAGCACCAAAAGAGGACAGGGCAGAGGGCAGACAAAGGTAAAACTGACTAGGCTTACTTACTAGCTGGGTGACCAAAAGCAAGTAATTTTACTCTCAGAGCCTAGTTGACTTGAGTTTTTGTCAGATTCGGTGAAGTATTTTATATACAGATGGAACTCAATGGCAGCTCCAAATTAATCCTAATTTAATTTTTCCTCTTTCATACCTAAGCTATAAAAAGATACAAATGAACAATTATGCTACCTTAATGAGTTATATACGTTTAAACAATTCAATGTCATTTAACATAGTATTTAACAGTTACGCATTCATTAATTTATCAAATGTTTACAAAATGACTATCATGTGCCAGGATATTGTAGTGAATAAAACATACATGGAACTTACACAAAGGTAATGGTAAATTTTAATTTAAAAATAATTACTTTGAATGTTCTATTGAGGATAGACCATAAAGTTATATGACAACAAGTGTTTCCATTATCTCTCTTTGTTGTCCATTTATAATGGTTAAGTAACCCCAAATTTTATCAGAAGTAAATGAAGGGGCCAGGCATGATGGCTCACACCTACAATCCCAGTACTTTGGGAGGCCAAGGCAGGTGGATCACCTGAGTTCAGGAGTTCAAGACCAGGCTGGTTAACATGGTGAAATCATCTCTCTACTACAAATACAAAAATTAGGCAGGCATGGTGGTGTGCACCTTTAGACCTAGCTACACAGGAGGCTGAGGAAGGAGAATCGTTTGAACCCAGGAGGCAGAGGTTGCAGTGAGCCGAGATCATGCCACTGC